TCCTGAGCACACATTCTTACAGGAGACTCCGACCTCAGTTGAGGTGTGGGCCAGCCAGGCCGACTCACAAGGGGCAGACCTCATACACTCTCCTAAGCACCTCGGGGCCAGTCCCTGACCTCTGCCAGGTGCTGAACTTGCTTTCCCAGCTGCTTCCTCTAGTCCAGGGCTTCTTAAACTTGTCATCAGTGAGGCGGGCAATATGGCTCAGCAGGTGAAGGTGCTTGCCACCAAGCCCGATGACCTGAGCTCAATGCCCAGGGCTTACAAGGTAGAAGCAGAGAACGGACTCTCACAAATTGTCCTCTGACCTCCACACCCACATTTGTGGCATGTGTGTGCCCACACACATAACACACACAATAAGGAAATACATATAAAAAAACTTGACAAGTGAAAGGTTTTTTAAAAGACTGCTGGGCCAGACCGGAAGCGTTTCTGATGGAGTAGGTAAACTGGAGGATGACTTCTCCAAGTTCCCAGGAGTTAGCGATGCTGCAGCCGCTGGACTGCAATCAAGAAGCTCTGCACAGAGCCTTGGTTCCCGCTCACCCTTCCTTAGCTGCTCTCCTGGCCGGAGCAGCATGAGAATAAAGCCACAGCCCAGAAGGCTGGAAACCTCAAGGCGGAGACCTAAGCATTTTGGACTTCATTTGAGGCACCCCTGAAGAATTTGGGCAGGCTGGACACTAGTCAGGGAAGACTCTTGGAAGGCTAGTGGTTTGGGGATACTTCGTTGGTTGGCACAATTGACCCAATTCTTGCTGATCTGGTGCTAGGTCTGAGGGGACAAGGAGAAAGAACAGTGTGGACCTGGCCCTTGAGAGCGGGAAAGGAAATATGCAAACAGTTAGAACACTGATAACTGTTCTCTGGAGGGACTGTGGGTGAGGAGTGGGAGGAACCCTGGCATCTGAGTTACTGGAACCTTCTTGGAAGAACTGGCGTTTATGCCCAGACCTGAAGGGTTTTCAAGAATCTAGAAGGTGGAGGAGGTATGTTGTTGAATTCAGTCCATCAGATGAGCTGTGCCTGTTTGCAAGAGCCCATCAAGATCCAGCTTAGTGACTGTCAACACTTCCTCAGAGAAGTTGGGGGTGGGGGTTATTGGCCCCTCACCTGAGCTTCAAGCTCCTCCTCCCAGCCGGCCGGACTCAATTCTGCCCTAATTGCAAGTAGGAGGTGTTAGAGGATATAAACTGGTGAGGGTAAGCGAGGGTCTCTCTTTGTTTGTTCAACTGTTTCGGAAGTCATTCCTGTTGATTGAAGTGTACCTGCTGCTTTAGCGTCACTCATGTTCCAACTAGGAACCCCTCAACCACGTTCTGTAAGTCCAACACACCCGTGGGTTCCCAGTGTGAACCTTGCTGTAACTGTATTTTGGTTTGTTGTTGGAACCTTAGGAGGAAAGGGTAAACTTCTATTTCTCTCCAGGGAAGAAATTCTTGACACAGGGTAGCAGGGGTGAAGCCACAGAACTGAGATTTAAAGTTCCAGAAAGAGGAGCGATTGGGAAGGGTCGCCAGGTAGCTGTCCTGCCAGACCTCGGTCCTTCCTTTCGGGTGGCTCAGTCTGCTCTTGAGCTGAAGTGCCCCAAGGCTCCTTTTGACATCTCTCTTCTCACTCTCCATGTCCCTACCCCTGAGCGCCTCCACACCTGAGGTCTGCTTCTGAACTGGACAGCCAGGCCTCATCTGCTCACTCCACACACTTGGCCACAGGCACCCCCGTATTCTATCCTGGTGAACACACACCAGCTTTCCACCAGGTTATCTAAGCCAAAGCGGTAGATGAAAGGTGCAGAATAAATTGGTTAATTGCTGCCACCAATTACCAAGGCAAGTCAGAGGTTGCTGGGCTCTGCTTTAGAATCCACACCCACTGTAGGAGCTGGATGACAGTACTTAACTCACAAGGTTGCTCTGTTGTTAACAATAAGAACCATTTGTGGAGCCAGGTGTGGTCACGCACACCTTTAATCCCAGCACTCGGGAGGCAGAGGCAGGCGGATCTCTGAGTTTGAGATTTACAGCCTGGTTTACAAAGTGAGTTCCAGGACAGCCAGGGCTGTTACACAGAGAAACCCTGTCTTGAAAACAAAGAAAGAAAAAACCAAAAGCATTTGTCACTCTGTAAACCCGATAATAAGTACTTTATTTGGATTCTCTTGAGGATGGTATGTACCCGGGGGCAAGGTTGCATCACTGGCGGATGGTGGAGTCAGATCTGGAAGCCACAATTCCCGGATCCTAAGCTATTTTCTTCACCTCACACCCAGCCCATCTATCAAATAGGCAGGTGAAAGGAGGATGGCAAATCGCATAATCGGCGTGAGTGTAACTTAAGAGACATTAAAGGTTTTTAAACAGTCACCTATTTTTTGTTTGTGTGCATGCCTGTAAGTATGTGTGTGCGCTCGCGTTATGTGTGTGCGTATCTGCCAAGTCCACAACTTCTCCATCTTGTTTCTACTCTTAACTTCCCTGAGCAGAAACTCTTGGGTCCTTCCAAAGGCCACAGTAGGAAGTAGGTGTTGCTGCCATGCTCACCACCCACCCAGCTGACAAGCTGGCCTGTGGAACAAGTTGTCAAATATCCGGCGTGCCAGAGGGAAGTCCCAGACAGCTCTGGCTGTTTCAACTAACTGCCTAGGGCTTTCTGGACAGCGGGCGCTGTTTGAGATCAGTTACCACCCCCACCCCCAACACACACACACACACACACACACACACACACACACACATCACACACACACACACACACACACACACACACAGCCGGCCGAATGCTCTTTCTCCAGTTCTGGCTGAGTTGTTAGCTTCCCCGCCGCCGCCGATGAGGACGCCTGCCAGGTACCTGGCTGGGTGAGCACCGCCCAAACTGGTCAGGCTAGTCCACCCCATGGCTGTTTCTGCCAGGACTTGCCCGTGCGTAGGGAGGGCACAGACCTTCTCCACAGCAACCCCGGTAGGTGGAAGGCAACTGGGAGCACTCGAGCCTGGCACTCAGACCAAGATGGGTGGAGCTGAATTAATCTAACCTGGAATTTCAACTTGGCCAGTAACAACAGGTGAGGGGGAGCAGGGAAACAGCATGAGAAATGGACAGTTTGGCAAGTTGGAAATACTCTTGTGTCTTGTCCCTGCCTGGAAGACAGCCCAGGGTGACTTTTTCAAAGTGCCTGCGAGCTTTAGGCCTCAGTAGCGACTTGGGCCCATCCGGAGTCTGGGGTCCCTCTCTTCCCTCTACTCTGGGAAGCAGGGCAGGCTGGGGGTCTCCAATTAGTCTTTGTTTTAGATGCTCAAGAGCCCGAGCGCCGCGCCAGGGAGGCTGGTGACGGCAGGGCCCTGGGGTCGTTCGGGGTAGGGCGCTCGGTTGTGAACCTCACGCGGATGCCATGCAGCGGGCACTCGGTCTCTGCCTCCGGGCACCCCCTTCTTGCCGGCCAGGCTGACTCGGTACACAAACGCGCGATGTCCCCTATTGTCCTGCCTCGGCTTGACTGAGCAGCAGCCGAGGAGGAGAAAGGGGGTCGGTCGGGCTCGGGGCTGCCAGCGAGCGTGGGGCTGTCCCGAGCACGCAGGGAGTGGCAGGAAGTGGGGACACCCAGGCAGCTGGGCCAAGGGCCTAGCTGGGGAGGTCCGCGCCCTGCCCTGCCCCGCCCCGCCTCGACAGCTCGGTCTTCGGGCCCCGCCGGAGGGCAGGGACGGGCCAGCCCGCGGGGACAGCCGCGTCTCCGGAGGGGCCCCTGCGCGAGGTCCAAGGAGGCGCTGCAGGTGCAAAGCACGGCCAGCCG